GCCGTATGACGCCCATGCCACCTCTAACCAACGCGGACGGGGAGGAGGAACCACGTGAAGGTGAGGAGTTCGCTCCGCCACTACGTGCTCTAAGTGAAGACAAGCCGCAGTCGTGGCGAGTTGACCGACAGCCTGGAACACTGCAGCCTTCAGTAGGCGAAGTGGCGATCGTTAGGAGTCTCGTGTGGCCGGGAGCTGCGAGCATCGCGGTGGGTAAGAAGTTCCTGAACGTGTACGTGGGTCACGGAGTCAAGTTCCTGTCCGAACCATTCCAGTTGGCTCCTCCTCAGCGACTGCAGTCTGGTAGTTGTGTGAGTTTGAGTGAAGACGCTGAAGGAGAGGGAAAACCGACACTGCGCTGTGAGATTCCAGTGGAGCAACCTGATCTACTCGAAGATCCGTCACCTCCTGCAGAAGAAGAGGAATGAGACTCATAAGGTGAGTCAGGCTTGCTTGAATTCATTCTTAGTTTTCCTTTGGTGCTTGGTGGTTAGTTTACCGTACATCATCAGATATTCGGGCTGTGAAAAGAACCTCGTCAGATCTCGTTTAGACCAAACGGTCTGGTATCCAGGATAATCCAAGTAATATATCAAACACGCATCATCCAAAGTGTTAACCCAAGTAATAAATCAAAACGCATCAGCAGATGCTTCAATTCAATCTTAGTTTCCATCTTCTCCGCATGACTATTCTTCAGTTCGTCCACTGCAAACGTAGAGTTCATTGCGAGATAAAGCCCAGATCTCGGGTGTATTCTCGTAGCGCGTTCCGTAGTGACCGGACTTCAATTGCACCTGCTGCACCAAAGTCGAGCGCTTCTGCATTGAAGGTGAATTCCTCACCTCAAGTGACGATACACAACGTCCATCTTGTAGATTAAAGCTGTTGACTGCCAGTGGATGACGCGCGTCACCTCCAGCAACAACAACAGACTCGTAGTTGTCGATAGCACAGCGCAGGCTTGGCAAGTAACGTTTCGGTGCTCCTGACATAAACTCAACCACCGGCTTTGACGTCCGAAGATCGACGACTCGTAGTTCACCATTTGATCGCTGTACCACCGCTCTTTGACAGTCGTTCAGCATGTGGATGTCGAGAACGGAACCTGCAGGTCGGTCTGGCGTTGCTTCTCCTTCCCATTCGAAAGCTCGACGAGGCGTACGAAGATCCCAACCCCATAGACCTCCGCTCTTCGTTCCATTCAGCACAACATTACCCTGGGTATTACAGCATTAGTTGATGAGTACTAGTCATGGACAACGCAAGCTTGAGTAATATAACACAAGACGGACCGTGGAAAAGAAGCTCTGAGCGTGCACGTCGCTAGTGATGACCCCAGTCGGCGCACGTTGGAAAGAACGATCTTCGGCTACTGCATCCACGTAGGCAGCTCTCGACGATCTGACCAGGAATAATTCAATGAGTTTCACAATTAGTTATAGATTATTACGGAAGCTCGTACCCGCCATATCCGACGCTAAACTTGCTGGGATCGGTTGGATTCCTAGAAAGAAAACAGACACATTGATTAAAAAAAAAACTTAGTAAATGACCAACGCGGCAGCAGACGATCGCTCATGAGGCAAACCATTTCGCTGTCCATGGATCAACAAAATCCATTTCCTAGTAATCATAAAAAATATTTTTAAAAAATGTTAAGAAAGGACTCGGTACACGTTGTCAACATGCTTCGAACAGATAACACTCACCTTCATACGTGCAGTTGACACCAATGCGACTCCCTGAGTTTGCTGATCACCAACGCGTATAAAACACACTCTACCCGACGGCGTCTGCGGCGTGTTACTCTGACCAATGTGGCAGACCAGTATATCGAGCTCCTGGACTGGACGCCACTGTAAAGACGTAATAACTCCTGGAACGTAGAAATCGCAGATGGGAAGTGCACACTGCGTAGGTGGTCCTGATCCAATTGCAGGTGGAATTTTCTGCAGTCCCATAATTTCCAACCTCCCATTGCTTGCTGTGGCAAAATAGCAATGTCGGGTAAGTCTGCCAAAACTCCTACAATTGTCCCTAGTCGTACCTCCAATAGCCCCAAGATTACTGGCTCGTGGATGCAGCGCCAACGCTGATAGCCGACCGTTGTTGTCTATGCCCTGGGACTCCACCACCTGCGACGACTACCCAAATATTCCACAGCAATTTACTATTAGCTTGGGCTCATAATCTACAAATACAAATACATATCCGACATACCAGGAAATCTGACAGTAGTTTGGGGATAAGCTCTCGACTGTCACGTCGTCGCGCACTCCATGCATAGTCCGCTTGTCGCCAGGCCATGTAGTTTACCCAAGAGTGGCCGTGATGTCCACGACCGCGTCGAGTTTTCACTTTAAATACCGATTTCGACTCTGCAGCTTCTTGATTCTTCTGTTGCAACTCCATTTCATCCCGTCGCTGGCGCTCGGACGCTGGAGAAGCGCGAAAGTAGCGACGTTTAGCCTCGTCGTAGTAAAAACCTGGTAGTGGAGCTACTGGGCTTGGAGTAACTTGGTTTTCTGTGGGTTTGTCGGTCTCTTGGCTGCGAGCATTGGCCCGTTGCGCTTCAAGAGCTTCGAGAAACATACGGCGAGCTGCTTCTTCATCCTGCCGCGTTGGAGCGGCTACACGACGCTTTTTGCGACGCCCATGACCGGCCATGCTATTGTTCTTGGAATTTGGATTAGGAAATTAAAATACTAAGGTGCTAATGTGAAAATTTAAATTTCCGTGAAATTAAGTAAAAAAGAATGTAAAATAAAAAATGTCGTGAATTTAAATTTCACTCTAATATTTTTAATAATCAATTTTGTTTTGCATATTTTATTTTTTTTTATAAAAACTCCAAATAATAACGGATTTTTACCAAATACTGAAATACACCTTCCCTTAAAAATTTGTTCCATGTACGAACCACGGTGGGTACCACTATAGAGGAATCATTGGCTTACTTCTTTGTTACTTTCGACTCAGACAGCAAGCTTCATACGATACTA